TGCTGGTTTATATTCAAGGACCTGTATGACTTCCATGAAACACAGTAGGGTCCAAAAGTCTGAGAGCACTGAAAATGCTTCTAATTTGCAACCCTATAAAAAAAAAAACACACAAAAAAAAAAACAGAATATATACTGTATATATCGTTTTTTTTTCTTAGGCCACCTAAATTATACTGTCACAACCTTTCACATTTGGTCTGACAAAACAATAAATAAATAAGATAAAATAAAATAAAGTACTCCCAGATATTCAGATATCTATAAATATATCTGTAACCAATTTGAATGAAAATTAATTTTTTTGAATTTCAGAATTTTATTCTTAGGCTGCACAACATCTGGTCGGACAAAAATAAAATAAAAATAATAAAATAAAATACTCACAAATCTTCACTATTATATTAGCTTAAGCAATTGATGTTTTTAATTTCCATTTTGAAACCTATATTTTTAATGTAACATTTTTCCATTACAAAATATATTTTAAGCATAACAATTTGACTGAAAATTTAAATGCATACTTCCTGGCATTGAACAATATTTTTTTCCATCTTTCAAATAAGCAAAAAGGATTAAAAAAATAACTCAATGCGGTCTCTGTCTTTTGTGAAGGATTTTCTGCTTCAGACGGCACTACAGTTGCCCACAGTCCACCTACTTACTGTTTGATGCAATACTACACAAAACCGGAAAGCATTTGTGCAAATCACAAGCTCTTGTGTTGCGGAATGCAACAAGTCAGGGTGCATTGGGTGCGTTTTTATCAGTCTACTGGAAAACAAAATCATGTTTCTGCAGATTCTATAGATTTCCACCCAAAAACTATACGCGGAAAAACGTCTATCTGGACCCTATCACTGAGGAACAAAAAAATCTAAAACAAATTTGTCCTGTATAAAGGACATTTGGATTGGGAGGATACACAGCAAGCTACAACATCTGTCGTTCTCTTGTGACGCCGCATGAATGTTGTGGAAACATGATCATAAATTCCATTAGAAACTTGGTAATAGATTTCTTTCTGTTCTGCTGGACGCGATCCACACAAACTCAGCAAACCAAGCTGGAAATCAAATCAGCCTCGTGAACTGCCCTAAAAGCCTCACTGGATCTCAGATCCGTCTTTGAAGGGAAATCCCTGGATGTCGACAGGCAAGGGAGGCACATGCAATCTCAACGAAAGAGATTGAAATGGAGACAGAAATGTTCTCCAAGTGGCCTGAAGGCACAGCGCTCTCAGATTCACGATTGAATCGTTCTGGGTGCGAAACAAGTTAAGCTCTATTGACAGATGCTGTGACGTGCTGTTGATTACCACACGTAATTTCAACCTGTGCCTCAGTTTGGAAAAACAAGCAGAAATCATGATCAGCTGACACTAATGCAGTTATTTACATGAGTACAATAAAATACTGGATAGCCAAAGTATTGGAAATTTAACTAAAACTACTACAAATCATGTTTAACTAAAATAATTAAAATTGTTATAGCAATTAAAATAAAGCTAAAAACAAATATAAAAACCTTAAAAAATCTTAACTTAAATGAAAATTAGATATGTTGCCTTGGCAATTATTTCAAATAAATAAGTTGAAGTTGAAGTACTAAAATTATTAAAACTAAAAAACAAAAAATTACAGCTAAGAAAAAAAAACAATTAAAAAATAATAACAAATTATAAATTATAAATAAATATAAAAATTATAAATAAATATAATACAATTACTAATAACTAAATTAAAATAAAACAAAAAATATATATATATATATATATAAACTTAAAAAACAAAATAAAAATTAGCAGCTAATTCAAATAAATAAGTTTAAGATGAAGTACTAAAATTACTAAGACTAAAATTGAAACTAAAATAAATTACAGCTAAGGAAAAAACAACAATAATAAAAAAAACTAACAAAATTACTAAAACAAAATGAAAACTGAACATATAAGCATAAATGATAGCCAAATCTATTACAAATAACTTTCGGTAATTCAAATAAAGCTAAAGTCAAATCAAATAAATAAATTGAAGTACTACAATAAAAATTTATAAAAATTAAACAAATATTTATAAATACAGTACATCTAAAAAACAAAAATGATAAAAGTGCATGATAAACTTTAATTAAAACCAAAACTTAATTTAAAAATAAAAGCTCATTTAAAATATTAATAAATACTATAATGCTATAAATAATACTAAAGTAGCATTCTGGGGCTCAATAATGGGGAAAAAAGTCAAACTGGGTCTGTCAAATGAATAAATGTAAGTATAAAACACAAAATAAAATGCACTGGCGAGCTTAAAAGCAGAAATGTGATGTTTGTATTAATTATGTCATAAATAATGTGTCTTATTTATGCTGTAAAGTTGTCTAAATCATTCTATAGAAACTTCTAGTTATGCATAACAGCATAATTCCTGCGTTGAAATTTCTCCATCTAAACAGTACTTTGCATATAGTCATATTAACATCACTTTCTGGTATCAATGTGAAAGTAGGCTTGCTGCGATAGAGGGTGTTTTCGGTTATACCAGTGTTAAGCCGCAACACCGGTTACGTCATTTGCCTACTGCGGCACCGCCCCCCCACCGCGTTT